GAGAGGTCGCGCGAGTAATCTCGAGCGCGATCTCACGAAGCGAATAAAGCGGGAAAAATCAGGAAAAAAGTAAGAAGAATGTTATTCACAATACGGTCCTCCTCGAGGACCTCGTAAGTTAAATACATGAGTCGATAGAGTTCAAACCTAAAACGTACAGCTATAAACATGAGGTAACCCGATACTGCGGCTTGGGGCTGTAGTTGTGGCCCAAAGGTGCCACACGAACGTAAGACTCGCGCTTCGTGTGGCCCGCGACAAGAAAGTAACAAGAAAAGAGAAGAAAAATAATAGAGACGTTACAGACCCCCCCCCAGCCTCAAGTTGCGGAATCCTCATTATCGTCACCCTCAGCCTCCGCACCATCTTGCTCCATCGGATCCTCCGGAATCGTCGAGTTCGGGTTCACAGGCAGCGAAGTATTGACGTTTATAGGAATACGGTATAGTCGAGCTAGGGGAGGAACATCTCTAGCGTACCCGGATGCCCAGGTAGATGAACCCGGCCCGTCAGGCTCTCGTCGAGGAGTACGAGCGCTACGAATCACTTCCTTGTGCCAGTGATTCTCTCGCATCGTTAAGTTTTGGCGCCTCTCCAGAGCGTTCAAACGGCGGCGAAACCATCTTTCGTTCTCCATGGACCATTCACCGTCCCACATGATACTACCTGGACCTCCAAACACCGCAAGCGGCGGCCAAATGCTCGTCCCATTATCCAAGATCCCCAACATAGCGTTTAATTCGTGATCACTGAGATGATCGGTCGTAGACGGAGTAGGAAGAGTACATTCGCGCCCCCTTCGATATACGAGAGCCATGTCGGAAGGTCCCTGTACAGCCGATCGCATCAGATCCATATCCCCGTATTCGACAGCGATCCTCCAAAGTAATCCTCCAGCGTGTAACGCGCGCACGGCATTCGGTCTAGTGAAAACCTCTTGAACCGCCCAAAGGTAACTGGCCAGGACGTCATCCGGATTATGTTCCCACCAAGCGCTAAGGGGATCAGTGTGCACCCAAGGTGGAGGAAGAGGGGCATCCTGTATAGAGACCAAATCTTGAGTAGAGACCCTCCATTCGAAAGGAATTCCCGAGCCGATAGCGTGGAGAACGAAATCTTCCCAACTATCTGGCCCATGGCGATGTCTCCAATCGGCCGCGCGAATTGCGGACAACGCATCCAGGTACAAAAACCCATCGTATCGAGGATCAAGTCGGTTGGGTACTACGACAGGATGAGGATCGACGCCGTGTTTGTCAATGATTTCCGACGTGGTACGAACTCGCACTACTTGACGAACGTCAGACTGTCTGGACAAACTACCAGTCCAGGGCCAGTACTCCTTGTTCGAGTGAGGCTGAGCGAGTTCCTCGTCCACCGCCTCTGGCAAGCTGAGAACCGAGTCTGGAGCCGATGGATAATCCGCGATACGGTCCTCGAGATTTCGCACTGGAATTGATGCTGGTGCCCCGACACGTTGAAGTAGAGGGACGGGAGAATCGTTTAATCCGAGGCGATTCCTTAACGTAGCGGCTGGTGGGTGCCACTCAGCCGCTTCGAGAATTCGTTCCTCTTCGGGATGTACGTCAATTCGAGATTCGTCCACTTCTCTTGATGACGTATCCTCAGTCCTCCCTATCGTCTCGGTTTCGTTGGTCGTAGCGCTCGATTCTATAGGCGTACCCCAGGAGTTCGATTCTCCCCATCCCGACATCTCCTGCTCGTTCTCAAGATCTCCCCAACTCGTATTCCCCGTGTTATGAATTCCCCACGTAGGTAAGGAGTCTGATCCGTTCGCGAAGCTTTGATTCCGGGGCGACAGGTGAATTGACCGAGGAAGATGAGATTCTGGAGGATGAGAAAAATGAGGACGGGAAGAGAATGGAAGACGATCCCGACGTATATATCCCTCTGGAGGATTCATGAAAGAGGATTCCATTATTGGAGGGCGATAAGATCGGTATCCCCTTGGTCGAAAAGATCCTCGTGGTCCCCGAAGTGCAAAAGTACCTCGCTCTGTCATTCTCTGCTTCCCTTTCCCTGAATAAGGACGAGTCTCCCCCTCCCTTGTACGCCTTTCTCGCAGAGCTCTGGGCTCTCGGGGAGGAGATCGTTCCTGCCTCGACACGGATGGTAAACGTACTCTGGAAGAACTAGCGACGCCTTCGCCCAACTCCGCCAAGGGTGCCTCTGACGAAGTTATCCTAGACGCTTCAATAGCCTGTCGTAGTTGCTCCGCTTCGATCTCTTCCAACACCTCGTTGTCCAATGGCGCCGTAGATACCTCCGGTCCTTCAATTACCATAGGCTCCTCCGAATGGACTTGCTCCGTCGTGCGCCCCGCGAAATCTTCGTCCTCCGTAAATTCCCCGTAGTCCAATAGTTCTTCATCCGAGTCCCTACTATCAGCTACTGGTTCCCTCAAAGCGGACGCAGGAATCGGGGCTGAATGAAGAGGAGGAGAAGGAGGGGCTGGACCACCACCTGTAGGTACGCCTTCCGAAGTCAAGTTGAAGAAAGGTACCGGTGCCATATCCTCATCGTCGAAGAAGGATGGTTCCAACGGGGTATTGGGCTCCGAAATTCCGTCAAACTCGTCTAAGATCCAGGATGCGTCTCCTTGTCTCGGAAAATTTGGTGCGAACTCCAGTTCTTGAGCGAGTAGACGTTTTTTCCAAGAAAAGGGCTTCCCGAAGCGATAACTGCCATTCTTCCGTGTCTTATCCTTCCTCGAGAATAACCAATAGGTCTGATACTGCCTCTTCTTGTCTCGACCCTCAGTCCAACGTCGATCTCTTTCTCGAGGTAATTCCGGCAACAACGGGGGAGAAGGTGGATCTTCTAGGTGAGTCTCGAGAGTTGTGGGTGCCACTAACTCTCTAGAACTCTCCAAGACGGGTGTGAACGATTCGATCGGCTGTGATTGCGCACGAACCAGATCTGGATGAAGATTACGAACATTTCTTAGCCTTGCCGCACTTTCGTCCCAGATCCAATCCATCGGAACATTTCTTTGCAGGTGCCAGTTCACAACGGGGTGAGGTCCTCCCTCCGGTTGCCAACGAATGACCGCTCCTAGATGTCCGAACTCGAATGCGTGATCGTTCCTCAGCCAAACAAACCAATCGCGAGGTAGCCTTAGTTCCGAAAGGGGAATAAATGATCCATCTCCCTCGGTGCTCATTAACATCCATCGTACCATGCCCTGCCAGCACCATATCCGATTCCACACTTCCTGTATAGCGTAGTTCTGTACTTCCAATGGTCGGGAGACGCCGAGCAAACTCATGAGCGGCTGGACGGTGTCGAATTGGAAACGAGCCGTGAGGCGGAAATACGAGGTAAGAGCCCGTACGATCCGCGAGTACCGTTCCACGCGTTCTTGTAGCGCGTCCATGGCCTCCCTCGATAGCATGACATAAGGAACGTTATCGTGATACGATCTGCCCTCCCCGATCAGGCGTAGCTGTAGCCTGTTTATAAAGAGTCCCTATAGTAAGACTGGGACTCTATACAGAGAGCCCATCATCTTACTGGCCCATGCTAATAAGGGCTCTTTATTAAAGAGCAGTGGTGCTGGTGGGTATTCTGGCTGGAAAAATGGGCGAAAAAATAGGCAAAAAATGCGTGAAAAAATGGGTGGGTAGGTATGGGGTGTGGCCCCGGGGTAGGGGGTGGTTTGGGGATGGGTAGGGGATGGGGTAGGGGGTAGGATAGGGTAGGAAAATGGGTGGTAATTGTGCAGTAGGGCTAGGATAGCTGGATGCAGGGTATGGGGAGGATGTATGGGGCTAGGTATGGGCTCTGGAGCTAGGGTAGATACATAGAGGAATAGGGATAGAATGATGGGCGATAAAAATACGGAAAAATACGGAAATAATAGTAGGAATGCTAGGATTGGTATATCAGGTACTGTGGGGGTGGAGTTGGTAGGGGAAATGGGGTGAGTCGTGGGGGTGTTTTGGTAACTTTGTGTAGTTTTTTGATTCAGAGTGAATGGATTGC